TGGCAGATCTGGCCCTTGAATCTCAAATTACTAACATTTAAGGTAATTAGATGTCCCCAAACTTGATTATCCCAGAGTGAAGGTTCCCTGATGGTGCCACATGCCTTTCTGGAATGTCAAGTTCAACTGTGCTCAAACCTTGGAAAACCAGGAAATACAAAGTTAAGGGATGTGCCACTCCCACAACGCAACCTTAACTTGCCCATGGATCTGGCAATAGCCACTGGATTGGTTCAGTAAGGGGGTGCCAGGGTAAGAAGACGTAAAGAATGACTAAGAGAATGTGCCATCGTTTGTGTTGCGTTGTGTTGCGTTCCATAGATTTGAACTGCAGCATATATATGCCTGCACTCTGACTGCCTGTACTGTGTTAGGTGCAACAATACTTAGTGGGGGAAGGAGTAGTTTGAGCAGGTTATTGTGATATGAAGAGAGGTGCATGTGTACTTCAAACGATCAAGTATGCCTCATTTCAGCACTGAATTCTGTAGGTTGTATCAGTACTAGGCATGGGGTATGCTTGCGTTATGTGTACTGTCAATATTCCCAACGGTAGTCTCCAGGCCTCAGTAAGAACATAAGAACGGCCATACTGAGTCAGACCAAAGATCCATCTAGCCCAGTATTCTGTCTTCCAACAGTGGCCAATGCCAGATGCTTCAGAGGGAATGAACAGAACAGGTAATCAAGTGATCCATCCCCTGTTGCCCATTCCCAGCTTCCAGCAAATAGAGGCTAGGGACACCATCCCTGCCCATCCTGGCTAATAGCCATTGATGGACCTATCCTCCATGAACATATCTAGTTCTTTTTTGAACCCTGTTATAGTCTTGGCCTTCCACAACATCCTTTGTCAAGGAGTTCCACAGATTGACTGTGCGTTGTGTGAAAAAATACTTCCTTTTGTTTGTTTTAAACTTGCTGCCTGTTAATTGCATCTGGTGAGGAGTAACTGAAAGTAGTGGCTAAGACAGAATCCTCACAACAAAGGGAATGGGTTGTTACATTTAGCCAGGTTGTTGTGGTTTGTGTGGGGTAGCCTCAGTGTTTGAGTGTAGGCCAGGTGTATGTAGCTCCTCTTTGTTATACCTGATATAAACACACGTTTTGCCTTAGCAAAGAGAAAGTTTCAGATTCAGTCCTACAGTGTGCATGTGCTCTGTTCCCAAAGTGTTCTGTTGCATTTGTGAGGGTACGGTGCTAGTGTGTGTGTTATCAGCACATTGGAGTATTACTCATTTAGGGCAGAGTTAAGGGGAGAGGGGCAGTACTATACCTTAAATCTGTATTTCCTGGCTTTCAGAGGTTTGTAGCTTAGCTAACTTTCTGGACATGCATAAGGCACCGTTGGGCAACTGGGGCATTTAATTTTCTTGGTTTTTTAAAAATTAATTTTCTCAGCATTCCCCATCTACCATAACCCATCTCTCCCCCTCCAGTGCCTCTGGCTCCTTGGCAATGATCACCCCAGCCACAGGATGCATTGGCTGCATGCTAGTCCCTTCAGTGCCCTGGCATCATCTCTCATCTCTCACCTCCTTGCACATCTAGAACAGCCTGGTTCTCCCTCCTCCCCTGGGGAGATGCAGGCATTGGCAGGGAGTCACAGGGTGAGGAACTGGGGAGAGGATGCAGGGACTAGAGTCGCTGGGGTCATGTTTTGAAGTGGGGGGGATTCATAGGGTGCATGGATGGTCAGGTGTTTGGGGGAAAGAGCTGAAGCCCTACCAGCATCCCCCACTGACCCTCTCCTTCCCATCCCATTCTTCCCTGCACTGCTTCAACACTCCCCCTCACTGCTTCAACTCCCCGTGCTCCCCTCCACTGCTCTGACACTACGCTGACTCCTCCCACCTTCCCTCCCTGGTGCCATTGCCCTGATCATCCCCATGCTCCCTGCTGCTCCAAGCCCCCACACAAATCCCCCCCCACACGCGCGCACTGCTCTGAGCCTCTCGCGCTCATACCAACTCCACTTTCCTCCTCGGCACTCCAAGCTCCTTGTAAGCTTGAGGAGGTGAGAAGGTGGTGGGGTTGTGAGGAGTGCAAGGACCAGCTAGAGACAGAAGGGGCAGGAGAATGAAGATGCAGAGTCCCTACCCAAATCTGGGCCTCATGTATTGGGAAGAGGCTCTACACATCCATCTGCAGCACAGGAGGCTCAGAGAGGTGTGAAGGGGTCCATTTATCTCGATTATATGTTCTCAGATGAATGAGAGCATCCCATGGAGATGAATACAGCCTGAGACAATAGCTCTGAAAGGTGTAAACTGCTCCATTTTTCTCAGAGAGTGTTCTCATCCCCTCTGCCCCGGTTTCAACACTTGTGGGCCTGTGCCATCCACTAGCCTTCCATAGCTCCTCACCCTATTTTCTGCACTATGTGCTTGGTGCATACTCCAAGCAAACCTGTTCTCAGCTCCCAAGTACGTCTTATGGTACCAAGCCAAATGCTTTACAGAAATCTAAATATATTACATCAACACTATTACCTTTATCAGCCAAACTTGTAATCTCACCAAAAAAGTTATCAAGTTAGTGTGACAGGATCTATTTTCCATAAACTCATGTTGATTGGCATTAATTATATTACCTTTAACTCTTTATGAATTTAGTTCCATATTAGCCTCTCAAGTATTTTTCTCAGGGTTGATTTCAGGCTGACAGGACTATAATTACCTGGGTTGTCCTGCTAAGTCTTTAAAATATTGGTACACCATTAGCTTTCTTCCAGTCCTCTGGAACTTTGCCAGAGTTCCAAGATTTATTGAAAATCAATATTAATTGTCCAGAGAGCACCTCAGACAGCTCTTTTAAAACTCTTGGATTCAAATTATCTGGACCTGCTGATTTTAAAAATGTCTAGCTTTAGTAGCTGCAGCTCAACATCTTCCCAACTTACTGTTAGAATGGCAAGGCTTTCTTCATCATCATCATCATCATGATATGACTACATCATCTGGCTTTTTCCCAAATACAGAAGAGAAATATTTATTGAACATTTCTGCCTTAGCTGTATTATTGACAGTTCTACCATTTCCATCTAATAATAGGCCGATACCACTGTTAGGATTCTTTTTGTTCCTTAATATACTTAAGGACAATAAGAAGTTTGTTTGGTTTTTTTAACTCTACTAACCTTAGATTTCCCTTTGTGTCCTTGTAATTTGTACATTGGGTCAATTGCTTCACTACTGCAGGAGAATTCCCTGTGTGTTTAATAACTTAACAGACAAAATCCAGCACTTGAGCTCAATCAAACAGTGGCTTTTTTTATACTTTTAAAAATAATCAATCAGTTTCATAATGGCGAAGAAATTTAAAATTTTGCATTTACAGACTTAATTTCCTTCTAATGAGAGAAGCTTGTTAGTACTAGGAGGGAGCCTTTTAAAATAGGAGCTTGGGGAATATCAGGGCATATGAGCAAGGTTCAATGTCATTCCTTCTCTGTTACAAAAAAAATAAAACTAACTAACAAAGGTGTAGTTAGCAGTTGAGAGGTCAGCTTCTTTCTGCCAGGCTCAGATATCATGGTTGGTGTTACGGTGGTACAAATATCTAAATAGGCAGATAGAGCTGTCTGGTTTAGGTATTTATAAGGCCCATATTATCTTTGTGACTAAGTGCTGGTATGGTATCAGGTTTCAAGATCTAAAAGAGGGGTTTCAATAAAGTTGTGAATAATATGCTGCAATTACTTCTAATGCAAAGATTTACGATTTTGTCTTCCATTTATTCATACTTTAGTGCAAATAGACTTTTCCTAAAGTAAAAATCTAGATGTGTTTGAATGAGTTGAATAACTACAGGTGAATGAAAATCAAGAAATGTGTTTAGTTTAAAGCAGAGATCTGACCATTTCCTCGAGTTAATTTTGATCTCGTTGTTATTTTAGATCTCAGATGTCTGCCTGTTTGGTCTGTGCAGCTCCTTCAGTCGAATTGTACATGTTCACCCCAGGGATGAATTTGACACCACAACCACCCCCCAAAACTCACACTCATTAGTTTAACAAAATTTTAAAATCTGAGGCATTGAGTGAGAATATGCTAATGATTGAAGCTGCACTGAGGAAGACTTTGTTCCCTCTTCATTTTTGTTACTAGGCTGTCAGTCTGTGCTTCCCTCATCCCCCTAGTGGTTGTTCCTGTCTGTTTTGAAATGCTCAGCTCAGACCAGTATAACAGTTCAATGACAATTAGAATCTTAAATTCATTAATTTCCTTCACTGTTCTCTGGGGTGATGTATTTTTATGATTCAATCTCCCAAAATGTGTAGTGCCTTTAATTCTGCACCCCTCCCCATATCTCTCGTGCACATTTAGAAACAAATAATCCTTTGTCACCAGGAGTTACGGTTATCCCAAACTGAGTGCCCCCTGCAACATGCATTAGCTCTTGCTATAGGAAGTCCAGCCTGATTGAGGCGGTGGTTGCATTATTTTTAAATAAAAGGAGAGACTGGACAGGAATGTTCCCTGTGAATATGTGACACTTCTGTACTGAACCTGAATGCCTGGCAACCTTGCAGGCTGCTTCCCCTTCCAACAGTAGAAGGGTTCTTAGAACATACTTGTCAGCAGTCCCTGCTGGGGATACAATTCTTGGTTTTTAACAAAAAAAAAATTATTCTGCCTCATCCTTACAATCAATGCCCAATGAACTGCAATGGCATTTTAAAATCTTCCCTGTTTGTCCTCCTGCCCTCAACTTTCCCTATTTATAGCTTTAAAAATGTTGGCAATTTTCCTTAAAAGCCTAATGGTTTTGTTAGGTTCATGCCCTCTCTGATGTTACTAGTACAAGCCAATTTAGATGAAGAATGTGCTCTACATGGAAATTAACAGTACATTAAGAAGCTACTTTATCGGTTTTTGAGCTAGAGAACACAGAATTTTAGGATTTTGAAAGAAATGTTATTGAGTTTCTTGGTGCTTTACAAGTGATTATGCCGTTATATTGCATGACTGAAGTTTCGATATTTCTGTTGCTGACAGGGAAGGCCGCTCCAATGCTCACATTAAAGGAGATTACCAAAGAATTGGTGATGTTATGCTAAAGAACATTCAGAGTATGAAGGTAAGAATGATCCTATAACCACTAAGCTTTGGCGTGGGTCAGAATCAACGTGCTTTTTCATGTAAATATAGTGCTGCCATTTGTGCTGCTTTTGACTATTGTGTGAGCTTTTATTTAAAAGGTTTCATTCAGTGAATTTCTAAATGTTTAGGCAGAGTTCGAGTGTTGCAAGCCCTTTGATTTTTAGTGATCAAAAAATCCTTAGAAGCATTGCACACAAAATCAGGAGAAGATTTTCAAACACAATAAACTTTTCAGATGTGGAGACAAAATGAGATCGCGTTTTATGTGCGCAAATAAAGATGAGAGCACAGAATAGGTCATTGTGCATGCAAGTATGCCTGCAAGTAGCACACTTGCAGAGGCAATGGCCCTACAGTGGCATAGACCAACTAGATACATATTCGCAAACCTAACTTTTTGGGAAGCTGGTCCTGGATATTTGGTCTCTCTTTTCTACCCCCCTCCCCCCCCCCTTTTTTTTTTTTTTTTTTTTTTTTTTTTTTTTTATCTTTGTTTGTGCTGTGATACAGAAAGGGTGAGTGTCATTGTAAGGATCACATAGCAAATCAGTGACAAAGCTGAAAATAGAACTTGAGAATCCTGATTCACAATCCACTGCTGTATCTAATAGGCCATCATAACCCTTTCCTCAACAAACCTATCACTGACTGCTTCATTCACCAAGACCTGTTCTGATACCTGGAAAAATCATCATATGCACTTTCAAACACCAGTCCCTTATTCCCAGGAAGTATAATTGTTTTCCTAAAGAGCTGTTGATCTCTAACAGTAAACTTATATTTAGAGACAACTCTGCTTATGTGTCTGGTGCCTTTAACCTCGGGTACATCTATACTTACCTCCGGGTCCGGCGGTAAGCAATCGATCTTCTGGGATCGATCCCAGAAGTGCTCGCCGTCAACGCCGGTACTCCTGCTCCGCGAGAGGAGTATGCGGAGTCGACGGGAGCCTGCCTGCCGCGTGTGGACCCGCGGTAAGTTCGAATTAAGATAGTTCGACTTCAGCTACGTGAATAACGTAGCTGAAGTTGCGTATCTTAGTTCGAAGTGGGGGGTTAGTGGACCAGCCCCTCATGTTGTTTGGTCTTTGGTGCCCTACGATCCTCCTTTGACACAGAAGAAAGATTGCAGCCGCCAGAGAAAAGAATCAAAACCAAGTTTGGATCAAAGAAGTCAGAATAGGAGACAGAAAAGAAAAATTAGTTCAGAACCTTCACACTTAGCACAGAACCTATTAAAAGACCTGTAAATTGACCCTGTCAACTTAGTTAACATAGGGAAGAAGTTAAAAGTAATAACTAACTACCTGGCAGCCTCTATAGTAGCCAAGGAGGGTCCCTTTTGGTTCAGCTTCTCTGCCTGTCAGAATGTCCATGGAATGAACGTGTAGTGTGCCTAGAAACCACTAAACTACCCTGTACTGTAAAGCTGTTGCAAAATCATGAGAAGGGGGATTTGTCTGGAGATGTGTCAAACACCACATTAGATTTAGACTAAGCCATCCTGCCTTTTGAAGTCAGATCAATACACAAAAGTCCAATTTCCCCTCATTTTCTGTGACATCATATTTATTCATTTAGAGACTTCTCTGGCTCCATCCAATGAGCTTCATCAGTAAAATCAATCACCAAACTACAACAGAACTCCCTTCGTTCATTTAAAAAAAATCCCCTTTAAAGAAGTAAGTCGGAAACTTGACCAATCAGATGGACCTTACGCTGCAACCTGACTGAAGCTGCTACAACCTCACTGTCATAAGGCAGTCCTGCCTGGAGCGCCCTCCTGCAGCAGACCGCAGCATGGCAGCTAGTCTGCCTCAGTTTCCCATCTCAGGTGACCCAATAACTTCATGTTTTCTGGTCTCCAAACAACCCCTCCTTGGGTCTGGTTCATTACAACAATATAGTCAGAGTAGCCAATTCTCACCTGAGGACAAGCAATCACTAAAACTCCAAACTCCCTTGATGCCCCACATACCAGACACTGGTGCCTTCGACCACACCTGGACTCTGTCAGTCCTTTCCTGTCCTTGTACTTGGACAGCCACCGCAGCCCTTCCAGTTGGGGCGCAAGCCCACTCTTTCCAGCAGGAACCCCCACAGCCTCTCTGCTGGGAGCATGTTTGCCAGGGGAGCATCCCTCACTCTCACTGTTCCTCTGGGTCCCGGTCTCCAGCCCTGGAGTAGTCAGTAGGTAAGCTCCTGCGCTGCTCCCTTGTCTTCAGCCCTCTCTGGCCCTTGGCTCCACCTCTCTGGCTTTGAGCCAGCAGCAGTTCCCTCTGCTGCTGTTTCTCCTGCCTTCAGCCCCCTCCAGCCCTGGCTCTCTAGCTTGGGGATGCCAGCGAGCAAATCTGTTTTGCTGATCTCCTGCCCTCTGTTTCCTTCCAGGACTCCTCCAGTCCCTTGGTCTCTGGCAGTTCTCACCTGCCCTTCTGCTCTGACTCACTGTGACTCCCTGACCCATTTTAGCCCCCAAATATTGCCCAACTCTCTTTATTGGCCAGACTGAGAGCACTTGTTCTGGCACGGAGGATCTGGACCTTTTTAATTCACAGGCGCCAGCCACGCTGTGATACCCACCCAGTCAGCATGTAAGTTACATTCACTCCCCTTCGCTTCACACCACCATTTTGCATCAAGAACATTAGAACAGCCATACTGGATAAGAGCAAAGATCCATCTAGCCCAGTATCCTGTCTTCCGACAGTGGCCAATGCTAGATGCCCCAGAGGGAATGAACAGAACAGAACAGGTAATCAGAACAGAACAGTGATTCATCCCCTGTCACCATTCCCAGCTTCTGGCAAACAGAGGATAGAGACACCATCCCTGCCCTTCCTGACTAATAGCCATTGATGGACCTATCCTCCATGAACTTTTCTAGTTCTTTTTTTAACCCTCTTATAGTCTTAGCCTGCACAACATCCTCTGGCAAGGAGTTCCACAGGTTGACTGTGCGTTGTGTGAAGAAATACTTCCTTTTGTTTGTTTTAAACCCGCTGCCTATTAATTTAATTTGGTGACCTCTAGTTCTTGTGTTATGAGGAGGAGTAAATAACACTTCCTTATTTACTTTCTCCACACCAATCATGATTTTATAGACCTCAATCATATCCTCCCTTAGTAGTCTCTTTTCTAAGCTGAAAAATCCCTGTTTTATTAATCTCTCCTCATACAGAAGCCATACCATACCCCTAATCGTTTTTCTTGCCTTTTTGTGAACCTTTTCCAATTCCAATATATCTTTTTTGGGATGGGGCGTCCACATCTGCACGCAGTATTCAAGATGTGGGCATGCCATGGATTTATATAGAGGCAATATGATATTTTCTGTCTTATTATCTATCCCTTCCTTAATGATTCCCAACATTATGTTCACTTTTTTGACTGCCGCTGTACATTGAGTGGATGTTTTCAGAGAACCATCCACAATGACTCTTTCTTGAGTGGTAATAGCTAATTTAGACCTCATCATTATATATGTATAGTTGGGATTATGTTTTCCAATGTGCATTACTGTGCATTTATCAGCATTGAATTTCATCTGCCATTTTGTTGCCCAGTCACCCAGTTTTGTGAGATCCCTTTGTAGCTCTTCACAGTCTGCCTGGGACTTAACTATCTTGAGTAGTTTTGTATCATCTGCAAATTTTGCCACCTCACTGTTTACTCCTTTTTCCAGATCGTTTATGAATATGTTGAATAGGACTGGTCCCAGAACAGACCCCTGGGGGACACTACTATTTACCTCTCTCCATTTTGAAAACTAGCCATTTATTCCTACCCTTTGTTTCTTATCTTTTAACCAGTTACCAGTCCATGAGAGGACCTTCCCTCTTATCCCATGACAGCTTAGTTTGCTTAAGAGCCTTTGGTGAGGGACCTCATCAAAGGCTTTCTGAAAATCTAAGTACACTGTATCCACTGGATCCCCCTTGTCCACATGCTAGTTGACCTCCTCAAAGAATTCACCTCTGAAGTTGCCCACCTAGCGTTATGTAGATGAGATGATAACCCAGGGACAGAAAATATGAAGTGCTGTAACGCAGGTGTTTTGATATGGGGTGTTTGTGTGTATGTGTTCAGAATTTTCCAGGAGTTGTAGCTGTTCTTTAATAATAAATAGATGAACAAAAGCTGGAATTCCAATTGGTTACAGATAGGATCATCAAAGGGGCCTAAGGAATTGGGAAAGTCAGTGCCAGTTGGATGTCTAATTACCTTAGTCCTCTTTGGAGATCCCAATCTACATTTGTTTCCTAACTCCGCGCTGTTGTTTGTCCCCATGATAAGTGCACAGTATGAGCTAAGTACAGTGTAATATCTTTAACTTTGAATTCCTTGGCTGCTGCTAGACTATCTGCCTCAATTAGTTTTGTTTGTTTTACAGGGGATGCAGAGAAGGTCAGGGGAAGGGAAGAATTGGCACAAAAGATTAAATTAAGTCTGGAGAGGGTGGGATTTTCCATCTTATTTCTTTTGTAGGTTAATGACAGAATGTTAGTGTTGCACAGAGTAAGTGATTGTGTTGCAGAAAACTACAGCAATATTAGCTAGATTTTATAGAGGAACATATTTGTATCAAATGACTTGGAATCCCATATTGCAGTGCGTTTGCTAATGTCTCTGCCTCTTTTCTTTTCTCTTCTCTTTGTTTTTAAGCAACTGACAGTTCACCTGCGGAAACACAATGAAGTTTTGATGGAGTTGGAGAATGGGATCAAGAACTCTCGCAAGCTGGAGAACTTGTGCAGGGATTTTGAGTTACAGAAAGTCTGCTACCTGCCCCTCAATACCTTCCTACTCCGGCCTTTGCACCGGCTCATGCACTATAAACAGATAATGGAAAGGCTCTGCAAACACTACCCACCAAATCATGTGGACTTCAGAGACTCCAGAGGTGAGGCAGAGGAATAATCTAATTCTATAAGCTGTGGACTAGAACAGTCTCCTGATAGCTAGTTCCCCATTCTGACCACTAGGCATGCTGTAGTATAAATAATATTGCATCCAAAAAACTACATTAGAAGAGTGTTCAGCTTGCAGAGTCAAGCACTCAAAAGTCAGGAAATGTCAGAATTAAGGTTGTCTCTGCGTATGCATGACAACATACTCTTTTTCCAGATGTGCAGCCTGTTTTAGTGTCATTTCCATGGTTCGCTTTAGGTGTTCAAAGCTGCTGTCATATTTTTCTCAAACGTGAAGAAAATATTCTCTGTTTGACGTTTTCATCAATTGATCACTTCCAAGGCCAGAAGGGACCTTTGTGATCATCTAGTCCGAGCTCCAGTATAGCACAGGCCAGAGAACTTCCCCAGAATGATTCCTGCACCATATTTTCTAGAAAGATATCCAGTCTTGATTTTAAAATGGGCAGTGATGGAGAATCCACCATGAGCTTTGCCTCTTGCCCAGTTTTTCCCTCTTGTTCATGATGACGTGATTCCCTGCTCCTTTTTCTCCTCCGTCCTTACATATGATTTTCCAGGGGATTTGTGTTCGTAAATCAGCTAGGTGCTTTTCAAAAATCCCACCCTAAATCTTTGTCCTCATTGTAGAGCAGAAATCCCTTGCTGTAAAACCGACTCTTAAGAATCCCCCATATTAGAGTAGACCTATAAATATTTGAGGATGGTTGAAGCCATGTGCCCAGTTACATTTTCAATTAAACAATTAATTAATGGATATTGGAGTCCTTGGGGAGAACATAGTAGTAGGGATAATAATAAAGCACAACCAAGGCTGGATTAACCTTTTGTGGGCCCAGCGCTTATGAGCCATATTAAGGCTGGATGTAGCAGTCAGTGGAGTTGTACCTGCATCTCCCCACCACAACCTCCTCCACCCAAAGTTATGTTTCGTAAATACCATTTTTGAAAGCTGGATTTTCTACTTTGGTACAATAACGTTTACAAAACTTTTTTTAAAAGTTAGTTTCTTTAACCTATTTCTCCCTTTGCCTCACCACCCCTCATGACTTGAAGTGAAACAGTAAAGTTACTGGGTGGAGCATGGGGAGGAAAATTGCCGATGTCCATCTTTTGCAGGGAGAAAGGGCCACAGAGAGAGAGAGAGAGAGAGAGAGACACACACACACACACACACACACACACACACACTCTTACCACCAAGGCTACCACAATCCACCTCAAGCCCCCACCTCAGCCTTCACATCTGGGCTCTCCCCCCGTCCTTCCTACTGTTCCCCCCCTCCCTTCCCCACACAATTAACCCCCACCTTTGCACAAGGGCTCTCCTCAATCTCCCTGTTACTGCCAATCCCTCCACTGACAACCTCCCTCCCTTCTACTCCCCTCCCCAAAGCCAACCTCCAACTTCAACCCAGACTCTCCCCTCCCTCCCTCTGCCCCTCCACACCAACCCCCACCTTAAAACCCTGCTTCTCCTACCCCGCCCCCACACAGAGTCATCGCCAGCTCCCACATCACACCCAAGCTTGCCCCACAATGCACCTTCCCCCCCAAACCATGCTGCACCCCCTCCCCTCCCTGGAGTGGAGGGAGAAGTTTCTGGGCATTCCCACTGGCAGGGGGCGTGGCAGCCAGCCCCACTGTCACCCCCCCCCAGCCCCAGGGGCCACAAACATCCAGCCTCCCCTGCGCCGGCCCGATGGCGGCCAAAGGGACATGCAAACACACACACACACCCAGCGCAAAGCTGCGGGGTCCAGATGGTTCCCAGGAGCCCGTGGCCAGGCATCAGGATCTCCGGGGGGGCTGCATACTGGGAGTCATAGCGTTGCTGCCACTCCAGGAGAACAAGGGAGCTGGCGGGGGGTGGGAGGAGCCAAGTCAGGAGCCCTCTGCCTCCTGTGCCCCATCAGGGAACAGGTGCAAGGCAGGAACACTCTGCTTGCACCATTTACTTTTTTTTGTCAGCTCCCAGGTCACCCACTTCACCCGGGGCAGCTCACAGCAAGTGCAGGGCATTTTGGGATTTGTAGTGCAGATGACTATACAGGTCCAAGGCCCAGGCCTAATGCCCCTGTGTGCGAACTACAATTCTCACCCCACCCCACATTGCTGGGCTGTGGCCAGGGCTGGATTAATCCTGTGTGAGGCAGCATGTAGTTGTTATGGGCCCCTTCCAAGTGTGGGCATAGTGCCACTGGTGCCATTGTTGACCCGATACTGAGCACAACAATAGTTCTTCATTTTAAGCCACTGATCAGATTATTTCTATCATTGCTGGAGATATGGCAAGAATGGGTCCTTGATTTACAAACAGTCTGTGGTGGTAGAAATAAAAATATGGAACCATTTCACCAAATTTCCAAATATGGGGACGATCCCATGTAGTGTGATGAGTAGGGAGATGTGTCAGAGATATTTAGACTAATGAGAGAGATAGGAACTGAAATTGATTAGAAAAGGGCCTAACATTAATCTATTAATAATGCAGAAACCATAATGATTTAACAGATGTTTTAAATGAGAGGAAACATGGCGAGACTGTCTCCATCAGTAGTAGTAATACTTCAGTACTGACAATGCAATAGAGTCCTTGGGAGTAGCCTCTGACGAGTACGTTTTGTTCAGGGATATCATATATCATTTAAAATCAAGCTTCTGATTCTATTTCTGGGCAGCCATCCAAACCACATGTGGCTGCTGCAGGAGAAAGTAGTTTAAATGTATTTTAAAATAGAATCGGGGCTGTGCATCCCATTAAAAAAACACACACATAGGCAACGCATGCCCCTCTTGGGTGTCTTTGGGGTTTTGGTTGCCTGCAAATGTTAGCGTGTTTGAGTCCATGTCGAGGTGTGAATTCTAGCTAGCTCTCTGCACTTCCCTTGATGGGAAAAGGAAATTCCTCTCATAGCTGTGGAGCCCTCAGGTACTGTTTTAAAAAGTTCATTCTCTTATCAGGGCCATGAGTTGATTCTCCTTGAAAACCAATCGCTCTGAGGGTTACTGTAAAAAAGTCAGGTCTAAAGTGTCGCGTGCCCATGGGAAGCTTAGGTAAAAGCAGGCTTTTGTCTGTGGTGATTGCCACAGTACTGCCATCCTCAGTAAAATAACCTTGTGAATGTGTGTATGCAATTTGAAGCCAGTTAGACTAATCTTATACTAGAAAGGGAGAATTATAACAATCTTGTTGAGAGGGTGCTATGCGTGAGCCACAGATGGAATAAATATTATGTGCCTGCTTGTAAGTCTGATACAAGCATTTAAAAGATCTTTGTTTTTATTTACTTAGCTGCTCTGGCTGAGATTTCTGAAATGGTGGTTCAGCTCCATGGTAGTATGATAAAGATGGAGAACTTCCAGAAGCTGCATGAACTCAAGAAAGATTTGATAGGCATTGATAATCTGGCAATCCCAGGAAGGGTAAGTGACAGAGTTTCACTCAAGAGCAAGATCTCTGGCTCTGAAATTATCAGCCAAATAGCTTTGGAACACAAGGTCTGGTTTAGAAGTCTGTTGGGTTTTTTTTTTTTTAATTCATAGTTTATAACATTTCTCTGCCCCATCCCCTTGGCCAGGTAAGCTATGTTTAAATCATGTTAGCCTGGGCCATTTTAACACTGCTTTAATGTGGGCATGCTATCAGTTTGTAGCAGTATAGATAGGGCCATGATATCTAAAGCTACTGGAGTTTGATCAAGCTAACCCTAATTGTCACAGTATGCAGTTTCTGCCTAGCACTGCCCCTCTTTCCTTCACTAAAGACTGTAAATCAAATGTAAAATACAATAGTGTCAGAGCAAACCATTGATTGTAAAAGGAGAGGGAAACCATCCTCTTGTCTCTTTTGCTTTGCTTTATTTTATATACAGTTTTGGATTGTTTTAGGAAATTTTGAGCATCACATGGAACAGAGGCAGTAATAGGGGGGAGGGATAGCTCAGTGGTTTGAGCATTGGCACGCTAAACCCAGGGTTGTGAGTTCAATCCTTGAGGGGGGAATTGGGGTAAAAATCTGTCTGGGGATTGGTCCTGCTTTGAGCAGGGGGTTGGACTAGATGACCTCCTGAGGTCCCTTCCAGCCCTGATATTCTATGATTCTATATTAAAATTAGGGTCCTACCAAATTCACGGCCATGAAAAAAGCATCACGGACCATGAAATCTGGCTATTGTAGGGGAGACCAGCTTTCCCAGAGTTGGGCGGCTGGAGAGCGATGGCTGCTGGCCAGGAGCCCAGCTCTGAAGGAAGCGGCAACACCAGTAGCAGCGCAGAAGTCAAGTGGCATTGTTGGGGTTGGGGGCAGGGGTAATCATTTTGGGGGTCGACAGGGCTGGCCTTACAGATGGGGGAGTGGGTGACCACCCAGGACCCTGTGGTCAGGGAGTGCCAGGACTTCCCCTTCCTCTGCATGAGCCACTCCAAGGCCAGGTCAGACCCATCTCCGGGAACCTTCCCCGGCTGCAGGAAGCTCCATGGCTGCTGGCTGGGAGTCCAGCTTTGAAGGCAGCGCTGCTGCTGGGGTGACGCTGCCTTCAGAGCTGGTGTCTGGCCAGCAGCTTCCCTCTGGATGCCCAACGCTGAAGGCAGCAACACCGAAGTAAGAGTGGCAATACCGTGATCCTCCTACAATAGCCTGATGAGCCCTCACCCCACCTCGCAACTGTTATGCTTATAAAAAGCACACAAGATCCTTTTTATAGGGGAGTAGGCAACACGACGCATTTATTGAGAATACAGCAGTTAGCATATGCTTTTTAGACACACCCACCCACCAGTTGATGTTTATAGTTTCCAGTCCAGAGTCTAGTGGCCAGCCAGATTGGTCGCAAAGGGGAGCCAGGCTCTATCGGTCGCGATCCGATGCTCCTGGAGTGTGGCAAGACGAACCCAAAGTCCCATGGCCAAGCACCCTGTTCTTATAGTCCCTTTGCTCTGTTGAACTCTATAGATTTTGCTGTGTCATTTATGACCTGTTACTCCTTAATTGGTGTTATCTTTTGATGTTAACACTCCAAAGCACCTCCAGGGTCATTCTGTCCTGGTTTTGATTTAATCAATTATCTTGTCTTTAGGGGTGCCAGCCTCCACCACAGGGTCGTCAGTCTGCCCTTCCTCAATTATGGATGCGCGTTGATGGTTCTCTGGTGTCCTTAAGTTTCTTCACTCCTCCTTCCTTGACCATCTGACTTTAACAATGGCTTTCACACCGTATCTTTTCCATACACTCCTCATTCACACAAACAGTCTTTTAGAGAGACCTTCAAAGGTATACAAACAACAGCGTTTTATGTTGAGCAAAAAAGACGTTGTAAATTAAACCTTACTAAATTTTGTGACCAAAACAGTTCACATTGGGGCCCAGGGCCTTCAACATGCCTCTAATCTCATTAACATAGACACAATACAAGATCCCATCTCTTACTAACTAAGCCTTAAAACAAAGAAATGTATATTTAACTAAAGGGCCTAATTTGTAATGCATATAGGAAACAAGACCCCATAGTAAACATTGTAACTTATCCTAAAACAGAGGGTGACCATAATCAGCCATAAGGATTGTTCTGGTCTGTCCCTGCCTTAATCAACGTCAGTACAGACACTGGCAGTCTGTCAGATGCGTTTGGTCTACCAATGTCCCAGAGGGTCATTCCTTTTTGTTATTCGAAAAGGGTGGCTGCCAGGATGATCAAATCATACATTAATACATTTAATACATATTACATTATTATAACCATCTATCATTATAACCTCTAATACAAATATAAAATCCTACTCCTACACAACCTCATTTTGGGTTGGGACCCTCACGATTACAATACCATGACATTTACGATTTTTAAAATCCGATGACCATAAGAGACTATAAGTAAGGCTGTACTGTATACCCCCGACTAAAACTTGAGTGCTCGTGGGGGGACGGGAGGGCCCGGGGGCACCATGGGTGCTTTTGGAGGGGGGAACCATGGCCAATGGAAGCTGCAGGGGCAGCGCCTATGGGCGGAGCCAATACGCGGAGCCGCCTGGCTGCACCTCTGCCTAGGAGCCAGATATGTTGGCCACTTCCAGCCTCCCCTCCCCCGAGGTAAGAGCTGCCCAGAGTCCTCACCCCCTCCCACACCCCAACCCCCTTCTTCATCCCTGAGCCCTCTCCCACATCTGAACTCCTGCTGGTGGGGGGGGGGTGGTCACCTGAGACTGCCCCAGCAGCATCTGGTGCAGCTGGCCAAGGGGTTGCCCGAACTGCTCAGGTGGCCCCCCCGCCAGCCGCACCAGCCGATGCAGAAGTCATGGAGGTCCCGGAAAGTCACGGAATCCGTGACTTCTGTGATCTTTGTGGCAGACACGCATTCTTAACTATAAGATGTTTGTGCTGGAGGAACTCATCTCTTCCATACTGGCAAGCACTGAAACAAGGAATCAGTATGTCACTTGAGCCTTGGGGACAGTTGTCTCTGTAGTCTACATATAACAGGATAAGATAATTTTTGAGTCCTTGTTTTATACAGGCTTTTCTAAATAAATATTTTTAGTGATGTTACAAAAGCATGGGAATTTCTCTCCTTTATTTCTGTTTAATTCTCTTCCTCTCTGTTTTTTATTGGCTCTAGTCTATTCAGATTCTTTTGCCCATCACTGTGATTTCTGAGCATAGTTAACGTGTCTGTCTTCCTGTTTGTGTCTGTCTATGGTATCTATGTACTGTACACAAAATTAAGAGTTTCATCTTGTCTCTGTTGAAGGGTGTATCCTCCCCCATTCGTTCCTTTTATACTGCACCACTAAAAAGGTCATTTTTGATGGTTGTCATCTGCCAGGCCATTTTTCATCCACACTCATTACTGAGGGAAAGCTTGCACAAAGGGATGTTTTGCATTTTGTGTCCTAAATGTAAGTCATGTGGTATCCTGGCAGTATAGAATCCCACAGCTAAACACCCTCCACCAAGACAGTCCTATCGCTAGCCCCTGAGAGTTTCCACCTGGGGACCAGCAGGTGTAATGTGTCTGATGTGTCTGCTGTTGAGGTGGGGTGCTGAAGAAAGGTTGCTCTAAGCTAGCTAGGTTATAGCCATTTAAGACATTTAAAGATTAAGACTAGGACTTCGAGGTGCACTGGGTTGGAGAGCCAGTGTAGAGCACTGGTGTACTGTGCTCTTCCTGGTCTGTCTTACCTGGAAAATGGACTGCTGCATGTTTTAGCAGCTGACATGTCTGTATGGCTTTCCCAGTCCACGTTCGCTAGTGTGTTGCCAAAGTCTGCCATGGGAACAATGAAAGCCTGGATCACTGTAAGCGGGTCCTCATTTTGGATCTTTTTCATCTCCCTTTTCTTGTTTACTTCTTTATTGCTCCTTATCTGATTCTTTTATTCCCCCTTCCTCTCATTGTCTTCCCCTCCTAATCTCTGGTATAATTACCATCATTTGCTTCTTCCTTTCAGTGCTTTGAACCCTCTGCTCTTCTCTGACTCTCTCCTGTCTCCCAACATATTTCACTTCATGAGCAGCATGACTACTAACTGAAATTGATAAAATGTCAATTTCACTTTTTGCTGCCCCATTCCATCCAAGGACAGAGAAAAGAGAACAAGAGGGATGTAGTACAGTATACTTAAATGTTGTCTTGTTCCGGTATGGAGTGAAACCGTAAAACAGACAGGGAGGAGATTCTTTGCGTGCCAAGTCAGAGAGCTTACTTTGTTTGCCACCTTCTGGCATGTGTTCAGGTGGTTGCTGCCTCTCCATCCTTCACCACTCTCTTAGCTCATGTGATTAACTCCCAGGCTGTTGCTCAGGGTATGTCTACACTGTCCATGTTACAGCGCGGCTGTGGCAGCGGTGTGACATGGGCAGTGTAGACTCACTTTATCGCCGGGGGAGAGCTCTCCCGGCGATGATTTAAAACAAAACAAAACAAAAAACCCACCCTGAACGAGGTGTGGTAGCTTTATATCGCGCCTCCCGGCGATAAAGTGCTGTCTATACTGGCACTTTTCAGCACTAAAACTTTTGTCACTCGGGGGTGTTTTTTCACACCCCTGAACGACTAAAGTTTTAGCGCTGAAAGTGGCAGTGTAGACACAGCCTCAGTCTCTGCACTAGAAAGCTAACGCTGAAGAACATTATTACCACCTGTGGCTGTGTGCTGTTGCCTGTGGGATGGTTGTATTGTACTTCTCACTCACCTGACCTGTGGATCACAGTTCCTAGTTTGGCGGTGGCAAAGCACACATTAGAGATAATGGCTCCAATCCTAGGCTGTGTCTGAGCAGCCTTCAGGGAAGGGGGACAAAGGTGGCTTTAACCTTGGGCCATTCTGTCACAGTGAAAACATTCTCAGGACTGTTTTACTTTTAGATTGCTCTTTTGGGGCAGGAACTGTCTCTGCTTAGTGATTGTACAGCACCAACCGCAATGGTGCCTAGACAGGTTGTGGCCGTTGGGCAGCATCATAATATAAATGTTTAATAATAATAATTAATAATATTCTGTGCAGGCTGCCAAAAGTCCCTAAGATACACAGCAACTCTGTGTAAACTGGAGTGTTCCCCTGGGGAGGGGAATCTTCCATGAACTGGTTTATTGATGCTTTACAAACTATCCTGCTGCTTTTTGTATCCTTTGCTTGTACAATGCACAAAAGTGTCATGGGTATTGGCCTCTAAAAGTCCATACAGAACCCATTAGGAACTGCCTGGAACAGGCTAGAGAGAGTGACTGGAAATTAAAGCTTTGATTTGCTTTATGTGGTAAAGGGAATTATTTCATAGTTCAAAACAGCGAATGATGCAACTCACTATAATCCCAGAAAACCTGGCTCTCTGATAGTTCAGTTCCACTGAGAGAGAGCTCTCGCTTCCTGAGCTTACATGCTTTAAAATAGTCTGATCTAAGTGAATGTGCTGTATCGCATGACATGGGCTGCACGGCTTGTCTAGGAGAATTCATGTTGCCAGACAAATCACCCTCTTCTCCCATTGTTGTAATGGATTCCTTGAGATGATTTTGTGCTTACAGCAAGAGCCAAGTCAGCTATACACCATATTAAGCATTATATTTGAAGGAGGAGGGTGGCCAGATGCTGGTGAATAAACATAGACCTTTTTATTTTAATCAGCTGTTTGATTTGTAATAACCTATTAATTAAAAACTGATGGAAGAGGGAGATGTCTGGAGCAATCAACGTCAGGTAGAGAAGCTTCCCCTTTAGATGATTATAATCTGTGAAGTTGAATAAAACTGTATCAGGTGATTGAGTGCCTTAAAAAAATGTTTGAAAGTGGAAGGGCAGCTCTGAGTAGGAAGACTACCTTGTAAATAAGAATTTTAATGTAAGTATTTGAAGTGTGTGTGAAAACAGCCTTAATAACTATCTGACCAAGTCAATGCCATGACACTAAGTACATACAGACTTTCGACAAGATATTTGAAAAGGGATATTTGACATGCTTGTTTTATGTCTGTTTTCCTACAGGAGTTCATTAGACTGGGCAGTCTTAGTAAGTTGTCTGGAAAGGGTTTACAGCAGCGGATGTTCTTCCTGGTAAGTGACGAGAACAGTTTGTATTGAACATAATGAAGTACAACTGTGTTTAAAAAAAAAAAAAAGTGAAGTGAAGCAAGTGTGCAGTGCACAACGAGGAATGCTTTCTTGTCCAGCTGCTTAAGAGGAGTGATGGCAGAGGGTGGCAGACCTCTTCAGTGCACTGGATATTACAGGACATTCTGTATTTTGTTAAATCAGGCTGAGGGAGACTGACCCACTGATATTGCTGTAGTCCAGGGCAAAAATGCATTGAGCTGGGAAGCTATTGGCCCATGAGTTCAAATGTCACCTCTGTTGACTTCTGTTTATATTTTCTTACACTTCACAGCCCTTTAAAGGTTGGGGTCTGAGGCTTTGATCAGTAAAGACCCTCCCATTGTATAAATAAGTAGAGAGGTTACACAACTCACCTCAGGCAGAGTTGGTAATAAAACTTAAGTCTCTAGTATGGCAGACCCAGGTGTTGTCCACTCCCATGCTGCCGTTCAGATTGAATGTCCCAAATAAATGTTTTATCTATCATGTCGTTAGCCAATGCACCTCACTCCCCCTCCAGAGCCTGGATAGAATCCAGGAGTCCTAATCTCCAATATTCTACTCATGTCTAGCAAATAGTTGTGTAACCTATTGGCAAAGTGTGTGTAAGACTCCCTCTAGTGGCCGCTCCATCTGCAGGGATAGCTAAGTGGAAGAGATGTGTGGTTGCGGGGGGAGTGTTTAAAAGTCCAGGGTTCAATGTCAGGGATCTTTATGCTTGAATATGATAAAATTTGATTTTTCAGTTTTCTTTTTAAAAAACTGGTTTAGTTAAATAAATGAGAAAACATTCTTTTAAACAAATTTTATAGTTACAATCTATCAATTCTATTTTGGCATGCAACAAACTACAAATGTTCATTTGTCACATTTTGATGTGGTGTACCACATGGGCAGTCTTTACGATTAGGAGGTATGGTGGACAGGCTGCTCCTGAATATCCAGAATAATGGCCAATCAGGTGTCTTCAGAGGGAAAGCTCTCTTTTGGGGCTGACATGCTCGTCCTTCCTAGCAAGGGGCTGACTGGTAAGCCTGCTCCTTCATAAATCAGGGTAATAATCCACCATAAACCCCCCCAATGCACAGGAAACAACAAACACTATTTCTGACCTCAGTGCATTGGCTCATTAGCATTTTGAGGGCTGAGATCCCAAAGTGCACTGGGTCACCAGGAGACCCGAGAAGAGAACTACAAGTAAGCGAGGAACTGGGCGAAGTTTCCTGGCACCAGTTGCAGAAGGAGATCATGTGGAGATTGGGGATGATCCTGGGAGTATTGTATGGAAGCTGATATTTTCATTTAGATGATAGTCACCTATTAGGACCCTCATACAAACATCATTCCAGTACTTGACTCTCTGCCCATCGTTACGGTTTGACCTTTGCTTTATAGTTTAATGTACTACTGTTCATCTAAATCATGTTCCTTCTTGCTTTTTAGTTTAATGATGTTTTGTTGTACACAAGTAGAGGCCTGACAGCATCAAATCAATTTAAAGTCCATGGACAGCTCCCACTGTATGGCATGACAGTAAGTACAGCACTACTGTGGGAATTCAATGGCTCAGGGCTTTAATGGTATATGTAGCTTGTCACTTGTTTGACTCCTACCCCAGGGTGGGGGAGACTGTTACCTCCATCTGGTGGCTGCTTTGTGGTTTATTTGAAATGTGTTTGTTGTCTCCATCAAGTTCCCAGTGGGTGCACCACAAAAGCCATCATCATGCTTAGCAGCCTCAGCAGAGGCAAATCGGGGCCTGAATGGCCATCTCAGCCCTAGAGATGCTCTCCGGTTTAAGGTCGAGGTGCATTGGCAGCAAGTGATGCAGCTGCTCTTGTGTCTCTACTACTTAGCAGAGTGATGAGATGCTGCAGTGTGGCCATAAAGAGACTCTTTAGGGCTCACTCTCTCTCTCCTTCAGTCTTTAATGCTGCTAGATTAGCACAGACCCTGATGGGCACAAAGGACTATGCTTGTGCTCAGCTCTTGCTTGTGTCCTCCATTTCTTATGCCTTTTCCTATCCAGCAGCCTTTGTATGGGTCAAAACACAGGTTAGCCATTAATGTGTTGTCAGTAGCATCTTGTCGTGTTATATTGGGAAGCTGGCAGAAAAATCCTGAACAACATACTGGAGCTGTTCTCCTTATTTTCATCACCACTTTGTTTAGTGTGTTCTATGTAAAGGTACTTGAGGCCTATGTACAGTAGTCTCAGCTGTTACTGTCTTTGAGTATTTTTTTTTTTTAAATTTCCTCCCCCTTTTTGGGGTTGCATTAATTCCTTAATTCTGGAAGTCTGTATTTACTGATCCTAGGACAAAGCATGATTGCCACTGTGGCTGGAATTTCCTTAGTATTGCTGTTACATTCCAAGTTTTGTCTAGTATTTTCAGGAATCCAGGCAGGCACTGATGTGATTCATCTGGCAGAGTTCCGTTCATGCATAGTGTATGTTCTTTAGAGATTCCAGGCGTGCATGTGTCAAAGAATTACCTCTTCTTATCTTGTGTGTGTCTGTCAATGTTCTGACTGAAAGAAGGAATATGACTATGCTTCAGTAAACAAAACAGCCTTAAGTAATTACTGCATCTAAGGCTGACAGAGTGGGAGAAATAGTCAATCCTACGGTGATCTTTTCCTTGCCACCCACCACACTTCATTTTTCTCACTGCCTAGCCCTATAGGACTACTTATAAGCTGCTTTTTTATTTTTTTCTCCATTTCCATGTTTGTGAATCTCTGCTGTACTTTCCTCTCTCTTCCCTCCCACTGTTCCAATCCATAAAATGTGTGCTTCCTACAATCTGTGGCTAATGCGATCTTACGATATATGAACCTTTGTCTCCTAGATAGAGGAAAGTGAAGAGGAGTGGGGAGTTCCTCACTGTCTTACACTACGAGGTCAACATCAGTCCATCATTGTTGCTGCAAGGTAATTCATTGGAAATGCATGTCCACAAGCCTTTCGCACAGTTGTGCAGGAAGCACAGAGCAGATGGATAGAATTTTATTTTAATTTGCTCTTAAAATCATTCTGCACAAAAATGCTTTCTGCTGCATGAGTAATAGGCTTGCTAAAAATTGGAGTAAAACAGAATCATAAATTAGAATATTGTGTGGCAACTCTGATTGTTTTATACAAACCAAACTTCTTAGAATCAGAAGAAACAGCCTAGTCAGACAAATGTAGGCATGAGAAAATAGATTGGGTACCAAACTCAAATTGTGATTAGCTTTTAAAGTGCCTCTCAGCCTGGCTTAAAGCGAATGAAACCTGGATCTTTGTTCTTAGTACCCGTGCTGAAATGGACAAGTGGACTGAGGACATACAGATGGCGATAGATCTGGCAGAGAAAAGCAGTGGTCCCACCCCTGAATTACTGGCTAGTAGTCCACCTGACAATAGTAAGTAGTGTATGAAGAGGAGCTTTTTACCCAATGATAATGGAAAAGAAATTCAATGATAATGGAAAAGGAAACACACTTTGAAATACAGTGCTGCTGTCAGTGGCGTAGCCAGGTTCTAAGAGCAGGGGGAGCAAACCTAAAAATGGCGTCCCCCTTGGCTCCTCCTCTGGTCATGCCCCCCTGGCTCCTCCAGCCACTCCGGGCCCCTTCCCCCACCCCCTTGGCTGGCTCCTCCGGCCATGCTGCGCCCCCCCCCTCACACCTCCAGCCGTGCCGCCCCCCCATGGCTGTAGAGGGAGGCTGGCAGAGAATGGGAAGGTGGAGGGGAGGGATGTAGAGGGAGGGTGGCAGGGGACAGGGAGTTTGAGGGGAGGTGAAGGGGAGGATGTGGAGGGAGGGGGGGATGGGGTTTGACTTGAGGGGAGGTGGAAGGGAGGGTGGCAGAGGACGGGGGTACAAGGGGAGGTGAAGGGGAGGGAAAGGCAGGGGCACGGAGCTTGGGGAGGGGTTACCGACTAGCTACGCTACTATTCCCAATCTTTCCCATTCTGTTGCTGCCCTCACACTTCTCTAGGGTCTGTTCCCCACACGCCAAAAGGCTGTTTTAAAAAGAGAGGGAGGAGGAGGAGGAAATTAAAGCTAAAAAAAATGTAAATAAAAAATTTCCCTTGGTCTGGAAATGGGCCCATCTGAAAGCATGTTAATCTCCACCTCAGTAATTTGGTTCTTCTGGAGAAGACAGAAGTCCTGCTGCTGTGCCCTGCACTTCATAAATCACGTCTTTATGTGGACCAGGTCAGGGCACCTAACAGCTCAGACATGGGCCTTTGCAGTGGCTCGGAGGGCTCCGGCATGTTTATTCTCTCACACAGATCTCCGAGGAGTAGTCCAGCACGCTTCTAATTACTTTTGATTATTTTCATTTGCTGGGGTCAGTCTGGCTTCGCCAGGACTGCTGGAGGGTTGATTTCACTGCTCTACAGCCAAAATGCTTCTGAAATAAATGTAGTCAAACTTTACTAATTCTGGGTCACTGAGAACGAAAATGATGCTTAAAATTGTTGATTGGCTCTAGTTTTCAAGATATGCTATTGGGTCAGTATATACGACCCTTGACTTGGGAATGGCGGAGGATAAGTGAGTTATAAAGGGAAGGGGTCTCAATTTAAACCAGAAATGACTAAAATACATCTTTGACTGGATCTATGAATAAATCTATGACTGGGTTTGGACAGTACTTGCTTTTTAAGCAAAACAATGAACGATGCAATTTGAAGCTGGTATTGCGTCATCCACGATATGAATTGCATCATGTTATTCCTAGAAGTCATGGATGATGCAATCATAACGAAGCTTACATCACTCTGCTGAACAAATTGCCCTAGATCAGCTCTAGAAATCATACAGTGTCATGCTCCCTTATTTGTCAGTGTTTGATTTTGCAAAGGGACACATTTCTGTTTAGCCAAAGTGAGCAGAGATGCCTCGTACTTGTGTGAACAGTGCAGATAACTTCTGCTAGGTTTGTGGTGAAGTGACTTTTGCATCCCAAAAGCGCAGTATAATCACTATGGTTAAGAAAGCCTATCACCTTTATTTTGGCTGCAAAATTGGAGATCAGGACAGGAGGTGGGCTCCACACATATGCTGCAACACTTGTGCAACAAATCTTCGCCAGTGGTTGAACAGGAAAAGGAAATCTATGCCTTTTGCAGTGCCAATGATTTGGAGAGAGCCAACAGATCATACCAGCAACTGTTACTTCTGCATGGTGCCTCCAGTTGGGAAAGGTGTGTCAAAGAAGGAAAAGTGGACTGTGCATTATCCAAACACTCCATCAGCTATATGCCTAGTATCCCACGGAGAAGGACTGCCGGTTCCTGATGCACCAGAATCATTCTCACTTAAGTCAGACGAGGAAGAGAAAGAGGATGAAACTTCTGGTCCTGAACCATCAATGTCACAGGACCCACATTTTCTCCCATCCTCCTCCTCTGAACCACACCTCATAACACTGGTCTACAATTTTTGAGAAGTCGTCTGCTTCAGAGATAAAATGTGCTATTTATTATGTATTTTGATGTGCTGAATTCAAATATGACAATTAAAACAACTGATTGGCCACTGTTTCTAAGATATTTAAGTTTTTACATTTTATGTCTATGTATATTGTGTAGATAGTAGAGTTTTAATCATAAATTGTAAACCTAGGTCTTTTCATGTGTTTATGGTTGCTTTACATGATAATATTTCACCTGTCCTGTTTATGTAACACTTTAAAAATCAGCAAAAGTGTTATATAAAT